GACTATAATTAGGTCGTGGAGTTTGATCGTTCTTTCCTTGAGCCTAGTTTTAATTAAACCGCACGATACCTGATCAAGTTCCCTATTTGTGGATGTCGGTAGATTAAAACGTCTACCGAGTAAAAGACACATAGGAACAACATTATGAGAAATAGACATTAAAAAATCTAATTCTATTAACTTGTCATGATATAGTTTTCTTGGTATAAAAGCCAAATGGCTGCAGCACAACGAGAATCATCCGTCTTCATCTGATGAGATTGACCAATAAATCTCTTCTTCATTCACTTCCATACGAAATGAAAGTCCCTCTAACAGTGTTATCTCAAGAGATTCATCAAAAACCAGTTTCTCCTCGTATATATAAAGTAATCAATTTCATATGTACGATTTATTGTTAGTATAGAGACATATTCACTAATTCGATTGCATTGTCAGAGAAAAATATGCGTTATCAGTATTCCCATTAACCATGTGATTTAGGAGATGCCTGACTTTCCTTAAAATTCACATCTTTACTATTAGTCACTGGTACTTACGACTGAATGGTGAACGGATAAGGTAAATCCATTTTACACGCACGACCTGTGTCCGAATCCCGCCTCGGGTGCCTGAGGCCCAGGTGAAGTTAAAACCGACCTCCCCCCTTGATGATAAAACCATTTTGAAGTTGGAGCTAAGTAAGAGTTATCGGTAGTGTGTGACTTTCTCAATGCATTCTTGGAAAACTCAACCATCAATCCTTTGATCACTGCTCGGACAGGGGTGAATAAAATTAGTATTCAAGTCTTATCGATGACAGAAAGCTACTCACTATAAGTATAGTAAATATATATTTTTCTAAAATAATTTTATTGAGGCAAAGCTTTCATTTTACACTTCAGAAAAGTAGGCAGAAAAGTCGTAGATATGTGGATCAAGGTGTTTGTTTTGGTCGTAGTCTTCTTTCGCTGTATGAAAGTGGTGTGAACTTGTTTTCACATCTCAGTCGTGTTGTCAAAGCGACCTAATTGGGCACACCTTGTCCAAAGTCCATTGCTATAGTATGTATGATATTTCCCGGCTTTGCGCCGTGGACTTGGAACATTCCCGGACGTTTCATCAACATCGTTAATGAGTCCTGCCATTCTTAGCACCAAGCTGCAACTTGTCGAGGAGGCAAGTGAAGGCAATCCTTCTTTGACGACTTATAACTTAGTGCTAAGACTGGCAAGACTGATTGGTGATGCCGACGAAACGTGTGGGAATGTACCAAATACATGGTCTGATTCTGGGAACCATCCTAACTATTATACCAGAGCACTTCTAACAAGGCGTATCTAATTATGTCGCCTTGACAACACGAGCAGATTGTGAAAACGAGGTCAGACCACGTTTTTTAGGTATTAAATTATTCTTAGCCCCAATCAAAGAGACACTATAAGCCTTCTAAATAAATTTGGTTTAGTAATTAGTAGTAGAAATCTACATTATGTGCATCCTTTCCTATGTGAAACCGTCTGTTTGTTGTTTATTTTCCTTTTTAATAGAGAAAATTCGCGAATTAAAGGAGACCGTAAAGGACCTAACAAAGGACACTGTTGCTCTTGAATCAGCAAGAGCACGACTTGAATCAGAAAAAGAGCAACTCGACATGTCTCTGAAGGAGGCAGAGGAAACATCTTATGAATATCAGGTAAAAGAGGGCAAAGTGTGGGTGCAGGCATAAGCCCCCCTTGCCCTTTGAGTTTGATGCATACATTTCATACCTCAGACGTGTGATTTGCTAATTCGTTTTTACCATTCCAGAGACCTCAGGTTCGACTCCCGTGTCTGACCGATTGTCTGGCAATACAATATTTTAAGTACCGTTTCCTTATATACATTTCAAAATACGCTCGTAATATGTGGGTCCCGTGGGATTTATATACTCTTGCTTAAAATGCTTTTAGTGGGGCACATTATGGGTGAAGCCAAAAAGAGGGGTTTCGAGACGCATTATGAATGTATGTGTACGAAATATTTGCGCCTTGCGGTTTTGTGTGGGATTGCACTTCCACCATCCTGGCTAATCCAGGTCTAGTTTTACAACTCGTTTTTTCAACTAATTAACCTCGGATATTGTATCTACTGTTGTGTACAATGCTGGTGCACTCCTACATACTTTCCGCACTGGATCTATATATGGGCACAATTCAGACGTGTACAGTGTTGCCAGTGAGTAAGGTCATAAAGAGTGAAAAACCATACCATTATGGAGCAACTGGATAAAACAACAATGATCTCAAGCTTAGGTGCATTCCGTCAATTAGCCAGAAATAGTTAATGTGAGGCAAGAAAAATGTTCAGCGAAGCCAATGTAACGAGAATAAATCGCGAGCAATCTACGACATATGCT